TATCTTGGTCCTTGTAACTATCACCTATATATATATTTAGTAATCTATGCTCAGCAAATCCTACCACTGTGAACCTTAAGCCATCTTTCTTGGTGTTTTCATTATGAGGTTATCAACTACCACAAAATTGTATAAGTTGTTCTGGGAACCTTCATGTACAGAATTTTTCAGAGCCATTTTAGGAGCATTTGATCTTTACCCACTTCAAGGTAACAGATTTTATGGTAAGTGTGATTGTTTATGGAGCCATACCATTACTTTTGATTTTTTTGGAAATATCAGTAGGTTAGCCCTAAATACTAATATTTTACTGGTGTTTTTATTCTGGCAGGTGGTGTTTTCTTTGATTAACATTTCCTGAAGCACTCATTTATTTTTCTTTCTACCTAATTATAATAGTATATTGTTAAAATATTTTATTTATTTGAAAGGCAGAGTTACAGGGTGAGAGGGAGACAGAGAGTGAAAGTAAGAGTGTGTGTGTGTGTGTGTGAGAGAGAGAGAGAGAGAGAGAGAGAGAGAGAGGAAAGAGAAAGATCTTAAGATCTTCCATCCTGGTTCACTCCTCAAATTCTGACAATGGCCATGGACAAGCCAGATTGAACCCACAGCCTAGTAGACTTCCATGTCTCCCACATGGGTGCAGGGGCCAAAGAATTGGTCCATCATCTAGTGCTTTCCCAATAGGGAAATCTAGATCAGAAGAGGAGCAGCCAGGACTTGAACAGGTACCCATTTGGGATGCCAGCCCTGAAGACAGTGACTTTACCCACTATGTCACAATGCCAGCCCCAATAGTCTAGTTTTCAACAGTTTTTTTTTATCTTCTTTGCATTCTATCATTGCTACTAAAACTATTCATTTTTTCATTGCAATCATAATATATTTTATTTCATAACAGCCTGTTTATTTGCTTTTGCATTTAAGTTCATAACTTATACCTATATATCTCTTTAACTTGATATTGTAAGCCAGTTCTAGCACTGTGAATGTGTGGTCATCATGGTTGGGCTTTTCTTTATGAGATCATCAACTCCATCCAAAGACTACAGTTTTTGCTGGCAATCATCATGGACACACATTTTCAGAGACATCATAGATTCATCTAATAATTCTGATAAAAGCCAAGACACTGCGGCAAAAATATTCTACATCAAGGATTTCAGTGAATGAGACCCCAGTGGAAAGAAAGGGTGATAAAAGAAAGATGTGCTTTTCTCTGAAGTGAAGGGAGAACTTCCACTTTGCTTATGGCCTTGTCTAAATATTGACAGAGTTTGTGGTCAAAAAAGGCTTCCATAGCCTTGACAGCTCATGGCAAGAGCCTTGAGTGATCACTGAGATCATAAATAAGAGTGGTAATTGTTAAATTACCAACAGAAGTCACAGTGTACTTACTCCCCATGTATGACCTCTGTCCTTAATAAGTTGTACTATGAGAACTGCAAAACTTGTTCTCAGCTGTTTTTTTTTTTTTTTGCATTGCATGTAGGTATGTGTGTAAACTGTTGAGAACTTTACTTAGTATAAAGTTAGTCTTCTGTATAAAAAGTTAATTAAAATGAAGCTTAAAAAAGAATGGGATGTGAGAGGAAGTAGGAGGTAGGATGGGAGTGGGGGAGGGAAGGTAGGTATGGGAGGAAGAACCAATATATTCCTAAAGCTGTACCTATGAAAGTTGTATTCAATAAATAAAAACTTTAAAAAAAGACACACACACACAAATAAACCAATCTCTATAATGTCAAGTCAAAAAAGCCAATGTGATGCCACAAATCCAATGTTGTTACATCATAATCTTTGAGATATCCTAATCCACCTTTGTGATACTATAATCAGTAGTGATGCTATAAAACAATTATGATGTTATAAATCAATATTGGGGTGGCATAAAGTATTGTACTACAGTAAAACAAAATAATAATAACAGAAACTAACCATTGTGGTATTACAAAACTACCATTGTAACATTATAATCAATTGCAATGCATAAACAACCCTAATTATGTCATAATGACCAATGTGATTTTATAAAATTACCATTTTGGTGTCATAATCAATTGTGAATTCATTGAAATAATTGGGACATCATAACCTTACCATTATGACATTATAATTAATTGTGATCTCATAAAGTAACCATTATAATGTCATATTTAATTGTAAGATCATGAAAACCATTTTGATGTCATAAACTTATATGATGGCTTATTCAATTACTATGTCATAAACCAGCATTTTGATGGCAGTATCAATTGTGATGTCACAAAACACAATATTGATGTTATAATAAAATCAGATATTATGAAAACTATTTTGATATCATATACTAATATGCTGCCATGAATGTGTAATTGTGATATCATAGATCAAACATTGTGTAGTCATGATGAAATAGTGAAACCATGAATATCATTGTGATGCCATGAAACTGCCATTGTGAGGTAACAATCAATTGAGATGTCATAAATGAACACTGTGTGGACATGACTTTTCACTGTGAGGTCATTATAATTTATAAAGTCATGAAACAATATTTTGATATCATAAGCCACAATTGAAATGTCATAAAACTGCCAATATGATGGTATAATCAACTGTGATGTAATTAAAACAATTTTAAAGTCAATACCTATTATGATATGAAAAACCATGATGTAAATAATATAAAGCTATAATTGTAATGTCATAATCAATTATGATATCATAAAAATCCTTGTAATTTTCTAATCAGCTAGGATATAATACACCTACCATTGTGATGTCCTAATCAATTGACTCATAAATACCATTGTGATGTTATACATATACCAGTATGAAGTTATAACCAGTTTGTGATGTCATAAACTATAATTGTGATAACATGAGCAACCTTTGCTGTTTAAACTATAGTGATGTCATATCAATTATGATGTCATAAAGCATCATTTTCATGATAAACCCAATTATAATGTCATAAAATCTATTGTGATTCCATAAACCAGTATTGTGATGGCATAACATACAATTGTTATTGCAATAAAGCTACCAATGTTATGTCATAATCAATTGTGATGTCACAAAAATCAACTGGGATATGATAAATAATCATGGTGATTTCATAATCCGTTTGATATTATGATCAATATTGCAGTCTTAAAAGCCACCATGATGTTATGAACCTATCATTGTAACATTATAAGCAATTCTAAAGTCAATAAATCATTGTGATGCTATAAAGATACCATTTTGATGTCATAGTCAATTGTGAACTAATAAAAACCATGGTGATGTCACAAACTTACCTTTAGGAAGTCATAATCAATTGTGAAGTGTTAAACTGCCATTGTTGTATGATAATCAATTGTGATATAATGAAAGCCATTATTTTGCCATCAATATTATGATGCAATAAACTAATGATTTTCATGTCACAAACTAACCACTGTGATGCCATAATCAATTGTAAAGTCATAAATACCACTGTGACATTTTAAACCTTGCATTGTGATGTCACATTATGATTTCATAGACCATGATTGTGATGTCATAATCAATTATGATGTCATGAAAACCACTGTGATGACATATACTAATATTGTGATGTATACTGTGATAAATAGAAAAATGTGATTTCATAAACCAGCTACCATGTTGTCATTATTAACTGAACTTTTATTTTTTTGACAGGCAGAATTACACAGTGAGAGAGAGAGAGAGAGAGAGAAAGGTCTTCCTTTCCATTGGTTCACCTCCTCAATGGCTGCTATGGCTGGCACTCTGCGGCTGGCATGCTGTGCAGATCTGAAGCCAGAAGCCAGGAGCTTCCTCTTGGTCTCCCATGTGGGTGCAGGGCCCAAGGACCTGGGCTATCCTCCACTGCACTCCCAGGCCACAGCAGAGACCTAGACTGGAAGAGAAGCAAACGGGACAGAATCCGGTGCCCCAACTGGGACTAGAACCCAGGGTGCCAGTGCCACAGGCAGAGAATTAGCCAAGTGAGTTGTGGCGCTGATCATTAATTCAACTTTGAAGCCATAAAAGCCATTGTAGCATAACATACCATTGTGATGTTATAATTGTGATATCATATACTATCATTGTGATGTTATAAGCTTCCACTGTGATGCCATAAAACTTGTTATGGTGTTATAATCATTTATGATATAATAGAAAACATTGAGAAATCAAAATCTGTTGTGATTCTGTAAAAAATTTTGATGTCCTAAACTACCATTATTATCTCATAATCAATTGTGATGACATAGGACCTGGTGATGTAATAATTAATTGGAATGTCATAAACCACCATTATGATATCATATTTTTAAAAAGTTACCAGGGGAGTGATGTTCCATTTTTGGGCAATTTACATATGAGTGTGAATTTTAAGAAACATAACAATAGCAATGTTTCCCCACAGCATCAGCCCCAAGACCCCATTTCTTAAATCTGCAATTTAATATGCAATTCCAATTTTTTAATGTGCAGGCAAAGCTCAACATTTCTGCAAGACAAATAACATCAGTTTATGGCTCATGGCTCTAGCATTTACATGTTTACTATTTTTCATAAAAAGATCCAGCTGAGTATATTTCAAAAGAAATGAGATCATTCTATTAAAAATATACCTGAACTCCCATGTTTATTGTAGTGCTCTTCACAATAGCAAGATATAGAATAAACTTAAATGTACATTACCAGATAAGTGGATAAAGAATTATTCTTAAGTACTGAAACTTAACTGAAAAGTGGTCGCTGTTAAATATAAGAGTGGAAATAAGAGAGGGAAGAGATGTGCAATTCGGGACATGCTCAAGCTGACTTACCTCAAACGGTAGAGTTAGAAACATACCAGGGGATTCCAATTCAATCCCATCAAGGTGGCATGTACCAATGCCATCTCACTAGTCCAAGTGATCAATTTCTGTTCACAATTGATCATAATGATAGGACTAAGAACCAAAGGGATCACATAAACAAGAATAGTGTCTGCAAATACTAGCTGATAGAAAAAAAAAAGGGGAGAGAACAATCCAACATGGGAAGTGAGATACACAGCAGACCCGTAGAATGCAGATGTCCTAAACAGCACTCTGGCCTCATAATCAGCCCTTAAGGCATGCGGATCTGGCTGAAAAGCCCATGAGACTATTTCAGGCATGGAAAGCCAAAACACTCTGGGGGGAAAAAAAAACCTAAATGAAAGATCTCTGTGAGTGAGATCCCAGTGGAAAGAACGCGTCATCAAAGAAGGAGGTACCTTTCTCTGAAGGGAGGAGAGAACTTCCACTTTGACCATGGCCTTGTCTAAATATGATCAGAGTCAGTGAACTCAGGGGGCTTCCATAGCCTTGGCAGCTCATGGCAAGAGCCTAGGGTGATTACTGAGGCCATAAACAAGAGTGTCAATTTGTTAAGTCAACAACAGGAGTCACTGTGCACTTACTCCTCATGTAGGATCTTTGTCCTTAGTGTGCTGTACATTGAGATTTAATGCTATAACTAGTACTCAAACAGTATTTTTCACTTTATGTTTCTGTGTGAGAGCAAACTGCTGAAATCTTTACTTAATGTATGCTAAACTGATCTGTATATAAAGAGAATCGAAAATGAATCTTGATGTGAATGGAAGGGGAGAGGGAGTGGGAAAGGGGAGGGTTGTGGGTGGGAGGGACTTTATGGGGGGGAAGCCATTGTCATCCATAAGCTGTACTTTGGAAACTTATATTCATTAAATAAAAGTTAAAAAAAAAAGAAAATGCAGTACATATTCACAATGGAATACTATCAGCCATAAAAAGGATGACATTCTGTAACTTTCAGCAAAATGGATGGATTTGGATTTGATGTCACTTCAAATATGCAAAATAGACAATGATAAATACTACACTTTATCCTACATGTGTTGAAGCTAAACAAGTCGATCTGAACACAAAATAATGATAATTGTAGGATGGTAAGTGTGTATGTTAGATTAAAGGAGGTTGAATAATGGGTACCAAATCAGATTTTGAAGGAATAAGTTCCTAGTATTAAATAACAGAGTGGGATGGCTATAGTTCACAATAACCTATTAGATATTTTTTGAGCAAATAAAAAGAGGGGTTCTTATATGCTGTAATCATCAACTAACGGCAAAGATGGGAAAATGTTAATGACTGATTTTACCAGCTCATGTGATGTACATTTGTTGAAATTTCACATTACACTTCATAATTATGTACAATTATTAGAAAACCATTTAATATTTAAGAAGATGAAAATGCTAACTAACCTGAGGTGTTCCCTTATCTTGTCATGTCCCATAAATATGTACAATTACAATACTTTAAAAAATGTTATTCTAAAATAATTTTTACAGAATTTATTTTAATTATTTGAGATGCAGAGTACAGAAGATGAGGGAAAGATAGCTAGAAAGGTCTTCCATCTGCTGGTTCACTTCCTAAATAGATGCAATGGTCAGAGATGGGCCAATTTAAAACCAGGAACCAGTAGATTCTTTGGGGTCTCCCATGCTGGTGCAGGGTCCAAGCACTCAGATCATCTTCTGTTGCATTCCCAGGCATAGCAGAGAGCTAGATCAGAAGAGGAGCAGCCAGGACATGAGCCAGAACACCTATGGGATGCTGGCACTACATGAGGAGGCTAAGCCAACTATACCATAGCATCAGCCCTTCTAAAATCATTTTTAAAAGAACTTTCTATTTGAGTAAATAGCCAAAATAAGCTTAAAATTATGGAGTGAGCATTTGTCCTAACAGCTGAGATGCCTGCATTCCATGGTGGAATGCTGAGTTTGAATCCCAACACTAACCCCTCATTTCAGTTTCCTGCTTAGGTGCACTCTAGGAAGCAGCAAGTGATGAAGCAAGTAGGTACCTAGATTGACTTCTCATCTGGTCCCAGCCTCACCTGGGCTATTGTAGGCATTTGAGGAGTGAACGCGTGTGTGGGAGATGTCTATCTCTCTTTCTGTTTGTATCTATTGGCTTGTTTCTCACTCTCAGACAAAAAAATAATTTAAGAGGTACTTGCAATATTTACTATGATTCCACAATAAACATCTTGTGCTAATATTTTTGGATGCACAGATTTTTTAATGAAAATAATTAAAGAAATTACATAGATACTATTTACTTTGTGTGCATAAAATAAAAAGCTTTATGATAAAAATCATATATAGTATTTAAAAAGAAATATCAAAGCAGAAATAACCTTTCCGTGTAATAAAGAGCAGCAATATTAAACCCATGAGAGTATTCATTGCTTCTACATTTCTATAGGCAAAATGTATGAAAAAGTTACAGATAAAAATGCTTTCAGGATAATCATTTGTTCTAGCAAATAACACATAAGTTGGGATGTTTGAGTTCTTTATCAGAGTTTGTGTTCCATATCTTGGGCTTGAGTCACATTTCCATTCTGAACTGTAGCTTCCTGTTAATGCACCCCTCAGGATGTGGCATGAGATGGCTCAAAAACTGGATTCCCTCAATCAAGTAGGATTCTGGATTGAATTCTAAGATCCCAATTAATCCTGGTCCAGCTCTGGCCATTGTGGGCATTTTATAAGAGAACCAGCAGATGGTGCTCTGTATGTTCATATTCCTCTGTCTTAAAATGTAAATTTAAAAATAATATTACTATTGATCTATTAAAACAATAGGCCTTTATCCTAACAAGGTTATTTGATATAGTATTATATATGTTTAAAATTAAACTGCATGAATGATTATTCTAGAATAGTTATCACATCAAGTATATTTAATTACATTATTGCATCACATTTCAGAAGCAGAGGAAATGTGCAGAGACTAATTCAGTTTTCTACTTTTCAAAAGAAGTCTCTGTAGAGCCCAGTTTATGCAGGGGCATCCCCAAGCATCACTGAATCCAGCAGCAATGGAGAAAGGCATGGAGTGCTCCATGGAAGAGAGTCCACCTGAAGTTCAGGAGGCACCACACACTGAGGGGTTGTGACAATCACCTTCCCCACCACCAATAAGGTCTTCTAGCACCTTGTACAGGAATTTCATGGGGATCTGAAGTGGGTTGTGATCAACTAGCTTGTTAGCCAGGAAGGGCCCACAAAAGCAGGTTGTGGACTAGTCAGAGTAAGCTGAGGAAAGGGCTCAAACGAAAAGAGTGTGGAAACCTGGGACTGGAGACCAACCTTCAACAGCTGCTGTGAGGGGAAATCTGTGAGGGATGCCTGAGAGTGCTCCAGGGCCTTGTCACTTCTAGAGGCAATGCATTTGAATCATCTGAGAGGTGCCCAGCTCCAATCTGTGGTTACCAATGATGCCCCTGCATGAGTCTCATATGCTGCCATATGAAGCTCAATGAAATAGTACATCTGATACAGTCCCACCCTGAACACTGTATCACCAGCTCCAGAGGGTAGTGAACAGAGCTGCATGATGTCATCCGCTTGGATCCCTAGGCAGCTCTGCCCCCTTCCTGGATGTAGCCTTGCAGGCTGCAAGCAAAGGAGGGTTACTGTGCCTGACCTGAATAAACATGGTGGTGCTGGCAGGGAGCAGCTGAAAGACCTGCTGTAGCAAGTCAGTGCCATAGCCTTCAAGTGTTGGATCTGCCACGAAATGGCCCTGAGAATCATCTTGCAGTTTGAACCTCCAGACCAGCTGCTGCCAGTGTTCTGTGGTGCCACTGCTCATGTAAGGGACAAGTTCTATGAATGAGTGTTTGTTGGAGTCTTCATCAGCAAGACCAAGTTCAAGGCCTCACCCAGAAAGCAGGCACTTGTGTTCCAGTGCATCAGTCATGGTGCTTTCAAACTTCAGTGCTTCAGAAAGCTAACAGGTGCCCCTGATACTTGGACCATGTTCTCTGAAGCCCATGGTCCCCCTAACACCACTGAATTGAGTGCAAATACTGTGCGCAGTAATACCAACTTGAAGGATCCCTGTTGCAGGTCCACCCATGACCTGGATTGTATGAATTGTGTCCTCAAGGCTGTGAGCACCAATTCCTGCCATTTGTACACCTCAGAGTAGATCTATAGCATTCTTGGCATTGTAACTGGGGAGCTCCCAGATGATCCTCTCCACTATGCATTGCATGGACTAAGCAGCACCATCTGTGGCAGCACACCCAGCCTCCAGCAGCTGTGCTTTGCTTTCCTCCATGTGGGCTTCTGGTCTTGCTCTCACACTAAGAATCCAGTCATGATGGACTCCCCTGTTTTGACTCTCTGAAACATTCTGGGAAGAGAGTTAAAGAAAATGGGTGTGGCTGTTGGAGACCAGCCCTGTGTAGTGCATTTGCATACTGGAGGCTAAGCTGAGACCAACTTCACAATCTCAACCTGGCTCCCAGCAACAAGGACTATAGGCCAACCCAGAGACCAACTGTGGCCTGCAGCCATCAGCCTGTTCAGAGGCAAGACAGCAGGAGAAGCTATGAGGAGAGATGCAGGTTGCAACAAAATAGCAGAAGGAGCTGGCCAAGGACCCAGTCAAGTGGGCAGCCTGGCTCAAGATGTTTCCTCCACAAGAGTGTTAAGCAGAACACTGTCCATGAGGGATGAACACTGCTGTTCCTACAGCCCCTGTAGTCTGCAGCTTCTGCTGATGTTACTGCCACTGACTTTCTAGAGACTCCATACCAATAACTCCCTGGGCCTGGGTCTGAGACAATGTCAGGTGTAGACTGTGGTAATAGAGATGAGGCCTTAAAAAGTTAGAAAAGGTGGAATGTTGAAGATTATTTAAATAATAGTATTACCAACTCAATTAAAGCCAGGAGCCAGGGGTGTCTTCCAGGTCTCCCATGTGAGTGCAGGGACTAAAGAACTTGGGCCATCTTCTACTGCTTTCTGAGGCCACAGTAGAGAGCTGGATCAGAAGTAGAGCCACTGGGACTTGAACTGATGCCCATATGAGATGCAGGCACTGCAGGCTGTGACTTTATCTGCTACACCACAACACTGGTCCCTTGAATGCCATCTTTTAATGTAATACTGTCTGCAAGAATGGTGTGGCTTTGTCTTCAAAGCTGCCATTTTAGGAAATCAAAAGTTATTTCATTAGGTTTATTGCATTTCATATATACTTTATCCAAGAGCACACACAGAGATTTCCTAACTACTTTTACTAAAATAATTTATCACTTATGGACAGAAAGGTAGCCCAGCACTGGAGGCCAAGATGGAAAAGATGTCCAGAGTCACCCTTACCTTCCCTTTGGTCCTGTGGTACACAGCAGTATCACCCCCATGTCAGCCTAAAGACAAAACAGACACTTTACACACTAATCCACACTGGGTGAGAATGTCATAAGCCCAGATTCAGTATTTCTCTCTTATTCATAGCCTCCACTTCAAGGACCACATTGGGCTAGTTAACACAAACTGCCATTCTCTGTTTCTTTGGACACCAAGTAAAAAAATTTTTTTCAGGAAATCTTTCCAAATTCATACCAGCGTCTTTTTTTTTTTTTTTTAACAGGCAGAGTGGACAGTGAGAGAGAGACAGAGAGAAAGGTCTTCCTTTGCCGTTGGTTCACCCTCCAATGGCTGCTGCGGCTGGTGCGCTGCGGCCTGCGCACCATGCTGATCCGAAGGCAGGAGCCAGGTGCTTCCTCCTGGTCTCCCATGGGGTGCAGGGCCCAAACACTTGGGCCATCCTCCACTGCACTCCCGGGCCATAGCAGAGAGCTGGCCTGGAAGGGGGGCAACCGGGACAGAATCTGGCACCCCAACCAGGACTAGAACCCTGTGTGCTGGTGCCGCTAGGTGGAGGATTAACCTATTGAGCCATGGCGCCAGCCAATACCAGCATCTTTTCTTATAATACAGTAAACAATGCTATTGTTTCTTATATTCCTCTATGTAGCATATTCATGAAAACATCATTTTATTCTCAAAACGTACTTATAAATGTGTACTATTAAACTAAAATTTTCTATGCTATGATTTGAGTTTATATATTCAGTGAACAAATAAGTATTAAAAACTATTATGAGACAAGTAATTTTCTGTTTCAGGCAAATAGGTATGGCCAATAATATTTTATATTAGCCAGAATAAGTCCTACTCTAAAACAAATTATACATTCCTTCACATAACATGTTGGGAGTTTTACTGTGGTTATATCAATTACTACATCATACTGGAGAGTAAAGACACCTTCCCAAAACTGAGTCTTTGTATTTAGGAACATGCTATGTGCCTCTACTTATATCTGTCTTCTAAAATGGTTTGTCATTATTTATTTTTAAGTCCACTTATTTTATACACACACACACACACACACAGATCTTAGATTTAGTGGTTCTCTCTCCAAGTCCCAAGAACAGCTGGGCCTGGATCAGATCAAAGCCAGAGCCCAGAACTTCATTCAGGTCTCCCAAGTGGTGACAGGGACTCAAATACTTCTACCATCATGCACTGCCTCAAAGAGCATAGCACCAGTAAGCTGGATCAAAAGTAGAAGTGGGCTCAGTCCGAAGCACTGCAGTATCAGATGCAGGTATCATAAGCAGCACCATAATTTACTGCAACACATGGTTCACCTTGAAGTGTCATTTTAAGCCACAATGCCAACACAGACACCATCAGAATTCAAATATAGAGCAGTTCTGTGTGAATTTATATAATAAAAATCTGGGTCATCTAGGTGACTGGCTTTTAACTAAAATCATAGAATTTATAGAAAACTTGAAATATTTCTGAATATATATGAAAATATACTGGTGTTTTAAATTGTGATTCATTTGGTATGCCAGTGAAAACAGTAGAAGAAAATATGTAGCCAGTATGCCTCTCACAGGCAATGTCTTAATATTTAAATAATCATCTATATGAACTTCCAAAAGCCATGATTTCAGAAATCAATCAAATGTTGTTTTGCACATTATTTAACATCTAGGGAGGTTTTTCCAAATTGGGAAAATAGTTTATCAATATAAAACATGGTTTCAACTCTTAAGATAAATGAGATCATAAAAAAAAAAAAACCCTGGAGTCAGGAAGGCTATTTGAATCTTATATTTTCAGATTGTTAACCTCTAAGGATAATAAAAAATAATGTAAAGAGTGAGGGCTACTGAAGGAAAGCAGATCTGGTGATTTGAATCATTTGATTCAGTGGGGAAGGCAGATAAGAGGACTCAAGGAATCAATATTTGGCAGGTCTGCCTGTAACAACTCATAGCTTGAAAAGGCATGGGAGGGGCCGACGCTGAGGCTCACTTGGTTAATCTTCCGCATGCTGTGCTGGCATCCCATATGGACACTGAGTTCTAGTCCCAGTTGCTCCTCTTCCACTCAGCTCTCTCCTGTGGCTCAGGAGGGCAGTGGAGGATGGCCCAAGTGCTTGGGCCCCTGCACCCACATAGGAGACCAGGAGGAAGCACCTGGCTCCTGGCTTCAGATCAGTGCAGCACAGGCTGTAGGGGCCACTTGGGGAGTGAACCAAAGAAAGGAAGACTTTTCTTTCTGTCTCTCACTGTCTATAACCTGTCAAATAAAAAAAAAATTAAATTTTTTTTAAAAAAGAAAAGGTATGAGGGAGGGGGAGAAGCTGTAATAAAACTATGGACTAGAAATGTGATAATCTCTCATTATAGGATTTCCAGAAAAGGAGATAGTCAATTAATTATAATTTTTAGAGAAACTCTTCAGGAATAAACCAATCATTAAAATTGCCAGTTTGTCAATTATCAGATGAAGAAGCAGCTTCATAAGTTTCACAGAAATATCAGGAGGTTGATAGCAAAAATAACATGGTTATTAAAATTTTTGCATAGGTGCCACAGAACATATTTTTATCACTAATTTCTGCTCATTCTTTACTTAGTTCCAGTAGCAGTTATATTTTTGTAATCTCAAAAATGTGATATGAATTCATCCTTAAATTTATAGTTTGTGGAATGAACCAGTTGATTCTGTCATTCTGGCTTTTAAATAAACAAGTGTCATGAACTGACAAAGAAGAGACAGGACATGGGAGCCTCCATGAGCAGATGGTGAAGCTGGATAGCTCTCAGCCAGCATTTTTTATTAGAACATATAAGAATTTTTCTAGCTAGCAAGCATGTAGGCAAGGTTATACATCAACTTTATGGTGAGAAAAGTATCCAGTATGGTGATCCATGACAGAGAAGAAAATGGTGATGTATATCATCACAGACAGGTCTAGTCAGATGTTATAACAAGTTCCTGAAAAAAACTAGGTATTAATTAAAGCCCATAATCCTCCTGCTGCTTCTACCACTGCATTTCATTGGGAGGATGTGCCCTCACCCTTCCTGCATAGGCAGAAACAGAACTGCAGCCATGTCCTTTTCCAGAGTGGTGTGTTCTCCTAAGAACATTAAGGCAGTATCCTCTACAAACAAGTTAATATATCTTTTTAAAAGTTGAATGGCACCAGGTAAAGGTGCCATCTGCAATGTTGGCATTATTTATAGTGTCAACTTATGTCCCATCTGCTCCACTTCCAATCCAGCACCCTGATGATGGCAGGGAAAATCAGCAGGTGATGATCAAACTGTTTGGGTGCCCTGAATCCCATCTGAGACAGTCTCAGAAGAATCTTCAGTCTCCAAACTTTGGACTAGCCCAGCCCCACTCATTTCAGCCTTCTTGGATGAGAAATATGTCTCAGTCTCTCTTTTCTGCTCTCTTCCTCTGGCTCCTATCCCCACTTCCTCTGCTATTGTAAATATTCCAAATAAACAAATCATTTAAAAAGGTGTGTTAACAGTTAATAGAAATGAATTCCATAGATGTTTAATATTTAAATGTGAAGTAATCTGACAACTATGCAGGAAACCAGAATGCAGATTATCTATTTTTTCCAACATGAGTTGATGTTACAGCAAATAAGCTTCTATTGAAATGAGTCATTTTTCATTAACTTCAGCATCTATGTTAGCCTTTTTCCATCACAATGTGGCATAAAGAGGTATTTTTTTAATTCTGTGATTTTTGTTATTAAATATTTGAGCACTAGATGCTACTGAGATGAGAGCTGTAGCATTTACAATTAAGAGTAAAAGGATTTGTAAAGGGTAACTGCCTATCTAGCATAATATCTTTTTAAAAAAAGATTTATATTTATTTATTTGAGAGGTAGAGAGAGAGGCAGAGACAGAGAGAAAGGTCTCCCATCCAATGGCTTATTTCTTATATGGCTGCAGCAGCTGGCACTGAGCTGAGCCAAGAGCCAGGAGTTTCTTCAAGTCTCACATATGGATGCAGTAGCCCAAGCACTTGGAACATCTTCCACTGCTTTCCCAGGCCATAGCAGAGAGCTAGATTGTAAGAGGAGCAGCCAGGACTTGAACCAGTGCCCATATGGGATTCTGATGCCACAGGTGGAGGCTTATATGCTACAGAGCCAGATCCTAGCATAACTTTTTAAAGTAGCATCTATAATACATAGTAACTTCATCTAGTTGTAACTCATTATAGGAGAATATAGTATTTAAAAAGATGCTAATACCCCAAATGGGAAAACTCTGGAAAGACTTTTATTCAGCAACAAAATTGCTATTAGTTTAATGTGTTTTTACTCAAAATCCTACTGAACAGGTATTTTTATTTGTGCTTGGTTTGTAAAAAGTAGATGGCTAACACTTTAAGACTGAATTATAGCCACAAATTTAAGAACTCCTTTTGGTTGTTAGGGAAACTATTTCAGAGACATGGACATAAATAAACTATAAAGAGTGGGAGGAAGCATCTTAAGTATAGGAACATTTTCACTTGATTTTTTTAAATTGCTGTGAAAAAGACAACCCTATGGCCATACACATGTAAGAAAGATATAGGAACATAATGACAATATCCTGTACATTTCTGATGTAAATTAAGTCATCACTGATTTTACTCAGAATGTGAGAGTTAATAGTTAGAAGGACACTAACATTGCCAAATTTTCTAAAGTTTTGGATGTGATCACCTGGAAGGTTTATTTTCATTTGGATTTCAATGGGACAATACCATGCATAATGGCAATAACCTAGTAGTTATATTTTATTTCTCTTATATACCTACCTTTTAGGAAAAACAAGTAGAGATTACTTTTACCTTGGAAAACTTTGAAGTGTAAGGCTAATAAAAGCACAGAAATACTATCACATTGTATTTTCCAGTGATTTATCACAGCTATAAAATTGATTTCAGGCTTTGATTATATGCACAATGCTTGTGATTGATTTCTGAAAAGTGTCAAGCATCTAAATATACAACAAATCAAAAAGCTAAACCTATTTTT